AAATTTAAAAAAAAAAAAAAATTTTTTTTTTTTTTTTTTTTTTTAGAGTAAGTCTTGTTAAAATTTTCTTGTATGCGTATTTAGTGAAACAACGTCTCCACGTCTCTCGTTTTCTGTAAAAGCGTGATACGGAATATGCCTTGAATCTCATTTTGTTAAAGGTCTTCAAATCTACGATTTTTTAAAAATATATATATCTTTATGTCTCAAATAAGTGACTAAGTTAATAAGTAACGTTAATACATGAATTCTTAAAAGCAAAATTAAAGTTTCTTATTAACTATTGACTTACCTAACGTATTTCAAATTTTATGATTTCATTTTTATCATATAGGATAAGTGGTCCAACAATGAACCATGTAAATTTCAGAAGCTTATATCTCTTTCAATTATTGAATTGAAGATCTGAATTTTGGCATACAATTTATGAATTTAGTTGGCTACATACTATAAACAATAACTTTTAAGTTATTTTTTAAATTTAGCCACAATTCGATTATTTAAAAAATCGAGAAGTGGTTCATTGTGTACAAGGGGGAGTATACAATGAACCATGTTTTTTAAAATAATAAATTACATGTTTTATACTACGAATTGTTGGATTATTTTAGTTTTGCTATAGTTTAAAATGTTTATTTTATAAAATAGATAATTATAAGGTGAAGATTCACAAGGCCGAGCGTTTTTCTTTCGTTTTGAGTGAAAACGCGTCAAATGAATATATTTTTATTGAGATTTTAGGTGGGAGAAGAGGCCGTATTCTAAATAATTATTACAATGAATTATTATTTTGAAAGTTATCGTAAAAAAGATTATGTGATACACATATACTATGGTTCATTACATCATTGTTCATTACATCAAAATGATTCATTGTAAACCACTTAATCTTTTCCACAATAATATCTCCTAATGTGATAAAATAATATAACAGAAAGAGTTGCTTACAGAATAATAAAGCCAAATGTGCACACAAAACTATTGTACAATGAAAAAAATGTTAGATATAACAACAAAAACATAAAAAATGCGTAAAACTTACGAAAAAAATTTACTTTGCAACCCAAAAATTCTTAAAATGTGAAATTACATCTAGCGATCTACCAGTTAACTGGTATGGGGAGGAAGAGTTTAAATGCGAATTGCTGCATGATAGCAACACAATCTGATAACGTCGTATTAATGAAATTTACGAAATATCGCAATAATTCATAGTGTACTACTGGTTCATCGTTAGGACTACCTATTCTATTTATACAAGTCAATTAATGAATGTACATAGAATATTAAAATGTATTAATGTATTTAAAATATTGTAAAATTTGAAAAATACTTTATTATTACTATACTTTGTTACTATAAAGTTGCATTCGTATGTACTATTCAATATATTTTTTGAAGAAGTTTAAATCTTGTATATTTTAATGAGTATTGCAAATAGTCAAATACATTTTTAAAATCGTTTTGTTTGTTTGTGCTTTTAGGACCAGTTCGAGAATCTATCCCTGCACACACAAAAAGGGATAGAATTTCTCGAGAGGTATGGCCACTTCATACGTGATCGTTGTGCGATCGAATTCGAATACGCAGCGAAACTCAGGTGAGACATAACAACTTCCTAAGAATGTAAATAAAGAGGTACGGAAGATTAGAGGAGACACTTGAACATTTTCGAAGTATTTATACTCTACGTGCTAAATACTACTTCGATTTTCTTTATTATAGATATATTTTAATAATTGTTATAATCTTTTATAATTATAATTATTATTATCTTTTTCGAGCTTTTTTTCAAATAATCTGCATTTCAATTTATTGCATGATTAATTTGGGGCATTCTGTATGAGAAGATTTCTTACAGAAAACCGCAAGAAATTAGAAAAATTTTGAATTTATCTCTGTCTGTGTTACTTTTGATCTATTTATTATCTATAGTTACTTTTATTTTTTTAATTTTTTTGTTTGCCTTGATTGTTATTAAAATTTACATTATATTAAAGACAATGGAAGAGAAATGCGTAAAAAATTAAAAAGAAAAATGGCGATAAAATATTTCTCCTAGTTTTTCCTAGTTTGAAAATAATTTAAAGTGAGATAGAGAAAAAACAAAGAATCAATAGCAGGTGCAGGGAGTATAGAGACCCTCTTGGAATGCTTTCGTACCTGACATATCTTGTGTTACCCTGCCGTGCAAGTCGATGTGCTCGTACACGATGCTATTTTTTTTTCAAGTGCCTCAACAAAGGGTGAGGCATCTGAAGCGAAATAATTTCAATGGGACATTTTGTATAACGAGCGTGTCTCACGCACCCTGCGGGTTCAGGGACGAGGCGAGATCTGTAGCGACTAATATTGTGTTAAAGGAATCCCTTGTCCGTTCCGTGAATGCCGTCCACTGTGGCGTACTTTTGTTCTATCGGGTGTCTCGAAATCCATTCATTCCGGCCGCTTAATTACTCTGTTTTGCATTGCGCTTAATTATTTCGTCGCATATTCCGAAATGTGCGCTGCATGCAACATTAATAGTAATTAATTGTACAGTCTGTCGTTTGACATAATCAACGAAAATATACAGTAGGGGTGAAATTTTAGAGACATGAGACGTATATATGTTCATTGTTCTTCGTTTTTAAATACACCTTATAGCGAACCTATAATTATACGCTCTGTCATAATTAAAAATATTTAAAATTGTTGTGTCACGTAACTTGAGGTGTGAGCTTTCATAAGAAACTTAATCATGGTAATTGTATAATTACAATTACCATAATTAATTTTCTTATGAAAGCTTAAGGAGATTGTAAGGCAAATGCAAGAATGTATGTTAAGAATTATTTGAAATAAATTACAGATTATTCTAAATTAATTTAAAAGTAATACAAAAAAAATTAAAGATAGTTGATCTGACTCTGGATCAAAAGTTATTTCAATAAAAAATAATATTTTTTTAATTTGTGCCCTAATAGAAATATATGAGAATGTATTATAAAATAATGATAAAAATCTCAATTTTTTAATATAAGTATACTACTTTATGAGTTCAAGAATATTTATATAAAGTTACATTAAGACATTAGTTGTTCAATAAATAAACCAAATATTTATTTCTTATAAACTAATTGGTAAATCTCAATAAAACTTTGCATAAGACATTTTTAGTATTTAAAATATTTATATAAAAAAATTTAGATTTTTGTTATTTTTTAAATTTTTGTTTAGAACAATAAAACTAAAATATCAAATAAAATAAATAATCTATAAAAATGTATTACTATCAATAAAAACAGAATGTTATGAACACAATTTTTCACATGTGTGTAGTTTGTTTAAAGCGTAAATATTAATATATGTATTCTATGCCCTACAACTTCTTTAATGTATACATTATACCATGTGATACAATTGAATTGTTATACAAATGTAAATTGTTTGAATTCGCGTTTAAATTTACATGTTCGACGAGAAAATTAATGAGGAAATGTACAGACTATTCTAAATCGATTTTGACGAAATGAAGGAATTAATTAGAGGTAGACGTGTTACTGTGAGCAGTGATTTCACGCGCTTCGCTGCGCACGTTCGCTCTTGGCGCTGCATACGAATCATCGCACTCGCGCGTCCTTCGTCTTAATGCGCTGCAATTTCCAGCGTCTAGCTCGACCCTCGATTCACTTTCGTATAAAAGCGTGGCGGTTAGTGTACGCGTATTCTGGGATGATTCTGGGAAAATTGCCACGACTCTATGTAATACTCAAAAAATTACGCGATCAAATAATTGGAGGCTCACCTGGATATCCAACGTATAACAGTATCTAGGAATTTGGCAAGTGCCCAAAAAAGGATCGCACGTGCATCTGGATGATACTTGGAAAGTCTTAAAATATTTTATTGCAGAAGAATTATCCTGGTATATAAACTTTCGCTATTTCCCATTAATCTTTTTTTTCATTAATTTTCTTTTTCCTCTTCATGTTGCTTTGCTATATCAAGAGCGTGTGATTCAATGTGATAGTGTATTTATAGACGGATGTGGTGCGCCATAAAAATTAAAACGGCACGCCCAGATCCGTTTTAATCTGCGCCGCGACCAAAAATAATTTCGCGTACTCGCGAACTGATATTTCTTCGATTACTCCGCGGCGGTACAATCCGCGATTTGACCCCTTGATGCACCTCGACGGAATGATCGCGTACATTGCAATAAATTCTCAACCAACAGGTTTTTCCATAACAGGAAGCGAGCGTGTGGAAATTGCGAGATGTGGCAATTCTTTGAGCATGTTGTTATATCGCTATTGAAATATTATTATAATTGCATTATAGCAACTGTTTACTATTGCACATATGTGTGATGTACTCTAAAAACTGATGTGATTTGTAGAAATATTATTTAGAATATAAGGATTAAGAAAAACATAGAATTTCTAATATAGATATGAAGCCATTTAATAGGCTTTTTTAATACATTCATTAGAATAATATGCATTATATGCACTATAAAAAAAATCGGGAAATTCAACTCGGATTGAGGTAAACCAACTCAATCTCAGAGTTAAATACGGCGAACTAATTGTCGGGTTGCACCAAGAAACATTTTAACGTTCCTTTAATATCTTCCTTGTGTTAATTAAACATTAAATTTAGTTTTATAACATATTTAAATAATTGACTAAACACTATTGGTAGTAACGGAACATAATATCGTTAATTAAAATAATTTTATGAGCGCGATGAAATAAATCTGCAATAGAATAGATTGTTTTTAACATTTGACTGGACTTCTATAAAGTAACGTGAATTTAATAAATTGTTGATAATAACTATTTTGAGATAATCTCTACTTTATCTTCGAGTGAAGTAGATTTAATAATTTATCTAATAGGACAATTCATTAAATTTATTTGATCCCATTATTTTGTAAAATAATTTAATTAAAATAATTATTATATAAATCGATTATTATATAAATCGATTATTATATAAATCAATTGAACTTTGAAAAAAATGTTTGTCATCATGATGTCATCATGATGTGACAAAAAGTGTATGAAAAGATCATTTGACCATCCTTGCTTTATACAGATAGATATCGAATCTTTCTTATGAGTAGACGCCATCTGTTAATAATTCCACAAAATGCTCCCTTCTAAATCAAAGTGAAGTATCGTTAATGTTTTATTAAATTCCTATTACTTTAAGTCGTGTTATTTTTACATTATATTCATGTTCATTTAACAACAATAATGATTCATTTAACTTTATAAATACTTATGATTATACCGTCCCATCATTGAATTACGTAAATAAATTAATTCAATTTATTTTTCTGTATGATTGATTTAATCTCCATGAAGAGGCAGATTTATTAGAATTACATTAAATCACCCTTGTGGTAGTCGAATGAATTTCTAATATTATTGCATTAATCTTATTTCGGTTAATCATATACTTTGATTAAATTTTTGAGTACAATTTATTACGTAAAATTATTCATCTAATTAGTATAATTATTTATCTAACTAGGTTTTTATTCTTCTTGATTATACTTCACTTAATTCAAATCGCGCAATCCTCAGATTTAGTTTTTTTCACTCTGAGTATTTTTTACAGTGTGGAATAAAATTATGAAAAATGTAACATGGCGAAAATTTTTCAAATTTAATTGCGAATGTAACGAATTAAAGAAGTTATTATTGTTGTTTGATGAATGAAATTTTACGACATGCTCCTTAGAATATATTTGCATATAGGATTTTAGAAATATATTGATTTAATTGTGATATCTCTCTATATTTATTAAATTAGTCTGTATAATAAAAATGTAATTTTTAGTAACAGATTAATTTTTTATAAAAGAGATTAATTCGTCAGTTATTAAAAATTATTACTCAAAACTATACTAAAAATTATTGCCAATTATTTGATTAAAAAATCGCAAATGATAAATTCGGAAGTAATACAGAGATCATTTCTCCGAGCAGTTTATTTCCGGGTAATCTGATAGTTCCTGTTATTCGCCTAACATTTCTCGGCGTGTCATTTCACCTTCGTGAGAAACGTGCATCAATAATCTTATTTCTCTTTTCTCTGTTACAGACGTCTCGTGAAGAGTTATCAACCGAAGAAGAAGGAGGAGGAAGATTATCAGTAAGTATAAAAACTATATGTTTGCATCTCTCTTCTCGAGTTACTGACGATCTCAGATACCATAGATTATTGAATCAGAAAGAGTAATAAACATATGTTTAAATTATCTATAGTCTAAATGGATTATACCACTAGTTAATCAAAGAAAGTAGATAATGTATCATTTGACGAATGAAATAGTAATTATCTAAGGTGATTATTTTCAAAACAAAAGTTGTATAAATTAATATAAATACTTATTTTTTTATTATGTCTCTTATGATATAAAAATACATTCTGCAATTATATGCACACACTCAACGCGTTGGAATTCAACGCATTCTTGAATATAAGGATTTATTAAAGCAAAAAAATATATGACGAGATTATTTCCTTCGAGAATCTCTACTGATCTTTAATTTCATAGGTATACCGAATTCTGTGGAGCCATAATTAATTTCTGACTCGACGCACAGAATGTGTACTGCGCGAATAATTAAGCGCGCATAAGAGCGTGGTTAGATCAGAGTAAAATAAATGGCAGTTAAAAAAGCAGAATCAGGGTAAAAATAAAGCAAATTTTATTTCAATAGATATTCTCCAATTTTTCACTTCTTTTTTACTCTCGCGCTAAATTTTTTTATTCGTCACTTGCAAACCAACGTCAAAATGAAATAGAAACAGGAGCAACCTGTTTATCTTGCGACCTAGAATCCAATCCTGATCGAAATTAGAAAGTTATCATCAATTTTTGTTCAATAGAATGTGATATTAACACCTTACAGTTTTAGATTTCTATTTTTTGCGCTTAAATGTGACCTCTTTTCTATCAAATTCTAAAACTTAGGGAAGAATCAGAATTTTATAAATTAATTATAAAATAAATTATATAAAAACTAAAAACGATCTTTTTAATAAGATGCTAATTTCATGCAGAAATTATACTTTGCAGCATAGGCGAGATACTTATAAGTTCAATAACTTCGCAAAAAAGATCCTATAGCGCTCGTAGTTGGTTCGTTATGAAGTGTTAAGAATGTGTCATGCTAATCAGCGTAGGCTGAGATTTAGGCTTTTCTCGTTTTATGAAATTAGCCTGCGTCAGCGTGTAGATCAGAAATTATTCTTGTCGTATATGTAACAATTATTATTTAAAATTTATATTAAACTATTTCAAAAAACAATTAGTTAAATTAGCGACGTTATTCATGCATTTTATATTTATTAATTAAGGGACAAGATGGTTTACTTATATGAAATGCAAATTGTTTAAAATATCTAGATCATTAATATTTCTCTCATTAATATTTCTTGACAAGAGACATTAAAAACTTACTAATTACAAAATTGCAAACTAAAGTATTAGACAAAAAGGCGAAATTTAGAGGATGATAAAGTAGAAGAGAGAAAGCGGACTTCTTAAAAATATTAAGAAAGTAGTATATAAAGAAAGAATTGCGAATTTTAATCAAATGAAAATAAACATCTACGAAAAGAGAAAGTAGATAAGGGATAAAATAAATGTAGAACGAGAGAACAAAGAGAAGAACGTGCTTGTGTTCTTTTAGGTATAGTCCTTGTCGGGCATTTAAAATGGAATTGAACGAAGTGAACGATCAAGCTGGTCAGCGGGAAGTAATCGCAGAAAATCTCCAGGCCAACGTCCTGCGGGAACTTAACATCCTGGTTAAGGACTTCAAAGAAGATCGCAAGAAGCATCTGCAGGAGGGCGCGCGACTAATGGCCACCCTAGCCGGTCAGATCGGCAATCTGGAGCGTGCCAGAAAGGCCTATGAGAAGGCTTTCCGCGAGGCGGAACGCGCTGTGGAGAACTATCAGCGAGCGGACGCAGATCTTAATCTTTCGAGAGCAGAGGTGCGTGATAAAAAATTTCCTATCATTTCATAATAAATCTCGTCAGCTTTTGCGTGCTGGGTACCGATCATGTAATTTTTTCTCTAGAGCGGAAAAGTGAAAATTTTTATGTATGTACGTATGAGCATATACACACATACATATAAAAAATTTTTACGTTTCTGCCCTAGAGAAAAAATTACATGATATCTTTTCTGAAAATGACTTAACTTGTATACGATAAGTGGAAAGAAGAGTCAGTAGTATCATTTCGACAGAATATAGACAGAATCTCAAGTTTTTCTACGGATAGATAGAAAAAATTATGCCTTTAAATTATGAACGATTGTTGAAAATTGTATATTGATGCTTGATGATGATCAATTTTATTTCTGCAACGAGCAGGTGGAGAAACAGAGGATGAATATGACTATGAAGACCCAGCAGAGCGAGGAAGCCAAAACGGAGTACGCGAATCAGCTACAAAAAACGAATGACATGCAGACATTGCACTACCACACAGCGATGCCGGAAGTGTTTCAACATCTTCAGGTACTACTTTATCATAACTGTGCGTGATTGCGTCTATGTTTTATTATACTGTTTGTAATTCTTATAATATTATTCGAAAAAATATTCTGCTTTTTGTACAAGAGTTCAAAGAACTGTGCATCGATGTTATGTTTATATAATAAAAAAATATGAAATGATATTTGTCGACATATTTGACATATTTGAACAATCATAGATTAAATTATACGCTAATCAAATACAAAGTTAAATTTTAATTAAATTTGAATTAATTTTACTCAAAATTATGTTATTTGTCTGTGTCCTTAATTATAAATTTACCAATATTAGTTTAATAAATTAATATTAACTTGCTAATTGGAAATTATTACAATGTTGTCTCTCAATTCAATGTTTCAATTATTAATTCTTTTCTCATGGGTAATTCTCTCTTATATGTCGCGCTTTTGCCACAGGAACTGGATGAGAAGAGGATAAAAAACATGCGGAATTATATGATGAAATCTGTAGAGATTGAGCGGGCAGTGGCACCGATAATTGCCCAATGCTTAGACGGCATTGAGAAGGCAGCGAACGAGATTAACGAGAAGGAGGACACAATGTTGGTAATTGAACGGTATAAGAGCGGTTTCCAGCCACCCGGCGATTTTCCCTTTGAAGACTTATCGGTTGCTAAGAACTATGAGAGCAATAGTCAATTGGCTCAGCCCGTTATGCAGCCAATCCATAATCACCTCACGGTCAAGGGTACTGTCTCCGGTGGCAAGATCAAAAAGAGGGTTGGCCTCTTCGGGATTTTCGGCAGTAATAAGGTAGATACTCGTCCATTGCTCTGAAAGATTGTTGCAATTCTTTTGAGATCATTGGTGTACGTTCTCAATGCATAGGATGTATTGAAAAGATAAATAGATGAAGTCCTTGAATTTAATGAAAGCTGATAAGTATTGAAAAATAATTGAGAATTTTGGTGTATCAATTGCTAATTAGCTAATTTAAAATAATATAATCTCATTGGTAAAACAGTTAAAAATTACTGAGGCTTGTCGATATGAGTGGTGTGTGCACTTGAACTATGTGCAAGTGCACCGCTCCGTGAGAATTTAATATTTTTTTCATAGATTTTTCTTTAATTCTTTGTTTGACATTTTTAATTTAATACAAGATAAACTTTATATTACTTATTATTACTTTTTGATTATTTCATTTAATTTTATAAATTTGTATTAGAACGATATCTTTTCAAACATCCTATATTATGTATTATATTTCTCGTGAAGCCATCGAGTCTGGGCGATTTCATAAAATTTTGCAACAATTCTTTTGCGCATATCACAATTACATAATTGCAAAATTTTTTAATCCATTGAAAAAATGATTCCTGATAGGGAATATTTAATTCGCAATGTTTATAAGCCGAAGACTCGAATGACTCAAAGAAGAACTAATGTAACTTACTGCATTATTTATTTATTACCCTCTGCGAGGTCGTGAGAAGGAAAGGATAATTGCAAAGAATTGCATATTATTTTTATAGCATGCATGACAATTCTTTGTGAAGTATAATATTATTTTATTTTTTTAACTTATCATTTATGTATATTTTGCATCTCCTTATTCGCCGACAGGCCTGCTCTTATATGCACACAATATCTATTGCGCATGTACATTAGTAGATTCTGCATTCTTCCGACCGGCTGCAATGTTATTTACGTGTGACTTCTCAATTATGTTTTGTGCACTGTTTTCTATGATTATTTGAAACGTTTTTTGTATCTTCAAATTATTATTATTTGAAGTGATTTCGATATTATATATACACTTTTATAATTCATAAGCGCTTTTGGGATACAGTAAACTCTTTATATATATGATGAATTTATATACTGATAAATTCAAATTGAAAACTCAAAATTTTAATTATAATTAAGGTTAATTAAAGAGATTAATTAAAAAATGTTTTGTGTTCATTACATGCTAAAATGTAAGATTTTGTTAATTTACTTAAATAGTAGCACACTTATTTAACATCTTTATATTACGACGATATAATATGTATTATAAATATTTAATTTTTATTAAACATTTTTAATAAAAATTGAGAAGGTAATTAGGTGTTAGGGATTAATTTTCGGGATTAAATTTTCGAATTGCTTTTATACACTCCACTCTTAAAATGTAAAATGTAAAAAAAGAATAACAATTAATAAATTTGATAAACTCTGATAAAAATTACAATACAGTTCAATAGTGTATTATTTTTATACGTTCGGACTATAATTTGCAATCACTCTTTCGTTTGATCTCGCATAATGAAAAACATAACTTATTTTTCTTCTGTACTTTCTATTAATTTGGTGGATGGTTCAATCTGCCTCTGTGGTCTCTTGTTTCCAATCATCACGGGCTATGAATTGGGATATTATCACACTTAGTAAGTACTTCGTAGACCGCTTTTCCGCTCGCAATTATGTATATAATAACTATTTATCTGCTTTATAAAGATAAAATACATATGATATTAAAATATCTTATTAAAAGAGCGTGAACCCAACGGATATATTAATCTTAATCAGTATAAGATAAATCAATTATATTTACTGTATACGAATATATGAAATTTAATTAAAATTTTATATTGTGTAACCAAACTATTATAAATTAAATTATATTGTAAAATATAACAAGACATGGAATTAAATTGGAATTTAATGTGAAAATAACTTACAATTTTGAGAATTGAAATAATTATGTTTTTAAAAATTTACAATTCTTGTAAGAGATTTACTTTGAATAATATTTGTAAAGTTAAAAAATATATTTTATATGAAACTATATTGAAATTAATGTATTGTAAAATATTTTTGCATTGTTAAATAACGTTGTAAAAACTTGAACTTAATTAATGTGAAATTATTATGTAAAAATACTGAATCAATGAATTTTTTATTGTATTACACGTATTATAAATATCTTATATTATTTAAGATTAATAATTTCCGAAATAATGAGTTCTCGCTTATGCTATTGCTGGAAGTCTATCCTGTTCATTCGCTGAATGATACGCTTTTCGAATTTGTTTCATGCTAACGACAGAAGTTGATCGAGGTGTGCATAGCTTTAAAGGTCTGTCTTTTATATAATCGCCAAGTAATTTTCCGATTGACCCTTTTGGTGCTTAGCTGAATGCTTACAAGTGCTCGAGATTTGCTAGTCTTCTTTACATGTAGTAGTAAATATATGAGACAGGCAATCGCTTCTTCGAAAGCAAAATTATCTTGATAATTAATTCGATTATTTCGATTATGTAAAATTAAATTGAGAGAATTCCTACATCTGCGAAATATATGAATCATATGAATCACTTAAACAAATCTAATTTTTGCGAAAACAAAAGCTTTTGCGGATCTATGAAATGTAAAAAATTGTAAAGTCTTGATATTTAATAACATCATTTCGCGAATTTCTTAATTCTGAAATTAAAGAAATTAAATTTTAATTCTTCTAACACATCATATTTTCCACCTTCTAGCACCAAACGGGTTAAATATTCTTATTTCTGAAATAATTTGTTATGTTTTTTTTTATTATATACTGCAAAGAATACATTTTATTGATATTGTCACTTAGAACAATGAGCGATATTGAATATTGAAGTTGTTTATCAATTTATACTAGTTTTCACTAACAATTCGCAGATCATTAACAGAACGAATTCTTCCTGCAACAAAATGTATTCCCAAGCTTTCTCATCTTTCTTTCTGTTATTTTCCTGAGACCTAGACTGTAATATATACGGAGTGAAAAGGAGGAAGGGGAAAGAGAAAGAAACTCGTGTTTTTCAATCATAAAATTATCTTAATTCATTCTTGTTTACATAATTTATTATTATATACATTGCTATTAATTATTTGATTTGATAATATTGTTAAGTTCCATTGCAAATAAAGTTTTTGAGTCTCAGGAATATGCACAGATAATTTTTCAAGGATCGATATTTATTGTAACAAATTCCAGAACAATGTGCCTGGTTACGGTGATGGTGCCAAGGAGGATTGCAGCGATTTGCCACCGAATCAGCGAAAGAAACGATTGCAGCAACGACTGGACGAAATCCAGGCAAAAATTCAACAGGAAACCGCAGCGAGAGATGGTCTAATGAAGATGAAAGGCGTATACGAACAAAATCCTGCTCTCGGAGATCCGATGAGTATAGAGGGGCAACTAAACCAGTCCAGTAACAAATTAGACAAACTCGGAGTTGAATTGGCAAAGTTTCAAGGCTACCTCGAAGAAGCAATGCGTACTGGTGCCAGTTTGTCTAGGTAAATGTAGCTTTATTAGAATTGTGCAAGGTAGTACTGATATTTGTTAGACATACAGAACAATCGCTCTAAAAGTGAGCAATGTTCATAGTGTAATTGTGAAAAGTGAAACGCGTAATATAAACAATATTTATATAGAGTAACACAGTTATAAATAATATAATGCGTGCTTTTATAATTTATGCAATTTTATTATGTTTAAAATAATAAGTTGAAATACATAAATTTTCTATAGAATTGTCTACATAATAATTAATTGGATTAAGACTAGTATATATTTCTGCATAATATGTTTAATTCATCAAAGAAGTGAAAAAGTAACTTGGTGTGATTTCAGCCCAAGTCAAGCACAGCGAAAACCTACTACTAACGGTTCGGCAACGAGGCCATTAAGTTCACGAAGAGGTAGTCATTCGGGCGGCGAGGAGAGTCTTTCGAGATCCGCTTCAGATTCGAGCGTCTGTAATGCGAACGCGAATCAACCGGTTCACAAGAAAAGTGCACCGAGCACACCACAGCCAACTCATGGGTAAGTTATCTTGGTAATGTAGGGTAACCCACAGACTCACACTCCGAAATTTCGGAACTTTTAAAATCCGTACATCTTGTTGTATAAATGCTTCATAAATTTGTTATTATTGAATATATATAATTTGTACCGTGTTTTACCATTATTGAATATTTTATCATCATTAATATTCTATTTTTATATTGTAATTGTATAGATTCCCTTTGTTTCATAAATTCATATTTAGAAACATTGCAATGCCTTCGACTTTTATGCAACCGTTCTTATCTTATCGGAACTAATGAACACAAGTAATAGTGATAATTTGAAATACTACTACATGAGTCATTGCCATTTTACTCGGTTTAACAATTAGTGTGACGTGAATGGAATTTTGCTGTTCACAATTGCTTATAGGTTCAGATTAGATTACGATTTAGTCAATGTGTTTTCGCGAAAGCGTTTGGTTTACGATGTTGAGTAGATTAGACACTTTACACTAGACAAATAGCCACGGTTTTCGCTTTATGGTACTGATGCACAGTTCCACGAACAGCCCGGAATCTGGCCTTGGCGAGTCGAGAACGTCGCTACCCGGCAGCGGCTGCGAATATTATCATGATGAAGTGGACGCTCAGCCGCCACTGGGAACATGTCGAGCGCTTTATCCTTTCGATGGTAAGTCCCTCCCAATTTATAGCCAAACAACATGATTTGTCTATATTCTCAATTTTAGAGATACGAATGTAAGTTTAAAGTCTAACAGAGAGAAAAAATTATGAAATTATGAAATTATGAAAAAAATTATTTTATATTTTTATTATTATAATGTTTAATTTTGTTACTATTTTATTTACAGCAACTAGCGAAGGTTCCATACCGATGTATGATGGCGAAGAGCTATATATGATCGAGCTAGACCAGGGCGACGGTTGGACCAGAGTAAGACGCATTTCGCAACCGATCGAAGGTTTTGTACCGACCTCGTACATAGAGTGTCATCTCTACAACACTTAGCCGCTTCTCCTAGGTTGTTAAAGGGAATCTGCGCGATGCGAAATCACTCGAAGAAGATTATAAACAAAAATGTATTTGATGCCGTCGAAGATTTGAGGATCATGTGTTGGATGAATTGGCACAGGATATCGGGATGACAAGAGCGGCTCGCAGGCCTAATCAATACTTTCGAACGATGGAAAGTCGAAAGATTCTTAAATTTGGAGATGCAATGAGGAACTTGTGGACATGGACAGAATTGTGAATATTCACAAATAAAATATATTTCAAAATTTCTCTTAAGATTTATAAAATTGATGAAAGATAAAAGATAGAATTCCTTATTCATGAAAAAAATCTTTCATCAATCTAAAGATCCGCAGTCATAATCTATAGAAGTAGAAGCGGAATCGGATTATCGCGTGCTAATATTCTCATATTCGAAATCGCGATCACACTTCCAACACATCTTCTCAAGGATTTCTGTTCGATTGATCGGCCAATCAATCAGGAAGAAACAAAGAAACGATACGATACGAACAAACGCCCTGGCTTTGTGATCAATCAATCTAATATAAGTAATAGGAATAAGATCGAGCTCATTTTTGGGCTTTATAGACTCTTAAGAGATATATTTTGCTTTTATTCGGATTTATTTAATATAATACTTTGTTATGTAATAATTACTCTTGCAATTATCTGTTAAAAAAGTATTTAACAGATTTTAATAGCGTATTATTAATAGCGAATGTATTATTTACATTTACGTTTAAATCATTATTTTCGTGATCTAAAAAATACAATTTTTTTTTTATGAAGCTCGCGGCGATCGTACAGTCTTACTCGCATTATTATATTATTTTAAAGTTATAAGTTGATATTAATGGCTGTTGATAATTATTAATGATGAATTTTTAATCGCGGTTCTATTGTTACCGCGAGAAGAAATTCTATATGCGGAAGACCATATCGGGACCTGCATCTTTTTGCGTTTAATTCGTCGAAATTATTATTGATAACAATAATTATTACATTATTAATCTCAAAAGTTTTAATTAGAAATACTGTATCTTGCAAACTGTACATTATGTTTTATTGTGTAAATAAATAATTCTCTTTTTTATTATTTTAAATTAGATCTTATATGAAGGGCTACTGTGGTCCCTAAGTCTATCTACGGCAGGAAACTCATGAATCCAGAAGTAAGGGTTGAATTTAGGCATCTGTATGATAGTGTTATGTCTGATTATATACATACTCGATTATATGCATTTGTCATTTTTAATCCTTTAACAAGAGTAAGAATCGAAACAGAAAAATTGCGTTATTATAATTGTTGAAAAAAATTATTTAAACTCGTAATTGGGAAATGCCAGATTTTTAGCCAGCTATTAGCACCATGGTTGACGAAAATAGTGCAATATTCTGATTAAAAATCTTGAGACGAGTCTTCTCTGTCTATATAAAAATTTATATATTATAAGTTCTCAAGCTCGCTACAGAATTACACTAATGTAGCTGCTAAGGATTAAAGCGCGACTTTTCGTGAAGAGTCGATAGTGAAATAAATATCCTTTATGCACTCACGTGACTTCCGAGACGTATCCTTTTTCCGTGTAGATGCACAAAAGAAACATTTAACGACCTCGTTGAGAAAAAAAGAAGTAATTATCTTAATAATAATAATCGCGCTCCGCCTACTCGTCACTTGCAAATTAATCATAACTGTTGTAATTGTCGCCGCACCGAAGTTTTATCGTTCTTTTGTATACTTGACTCGACATCGTAAAAGGCGGCCGACTGTTACACGGACACTATCACGCTAAGAGAACACGAGACTGATCGCTGCTAGAGTTTCGTCGTACTCACGCGAGTCGAACAAAATATCGACGTTTACTCGTAATCGAGATCACAAAAATCGGCATGATTCCGAAGTACATTGGCATTGAGAGAAGAATTACAGAAATTATGAAAGCACATAGTACAGGATAAAATTCGGCAAAGAATTTATACACATATAATAGGATTTTGTAATTGAACATTCATATATATACGATTTTATGAAATCGAGGCTTTTCTAAAGTTATGCCTCTTCTTCCAAGGAACCATGTATTTGTAGTACCTGGAATTTGTGCAAAGTCTAATTTTTAATTTTAATAAAATAAAGATTCTTAATATTGTTCTAATTTTTAATTGTCCGAAGCGAAAAAATTTTATAAAGTTGGAAGAATATATGTCAGATGTGCCAAGATTTATGAAATTGAAATTTTTTTGTAATACTAGAGTTCTTAAAAATCTTCTTGTGGTTCTTTAACATTCTATAGACTTAAGATTGTTTTATTTAAATCGCATGTAATCGAGATTAAGCAAAAGGAGATGTCTGTAGATATGAAGGATCCTGAAATCCGATTACGTGTAATCAGTTTATGATGAGAAACAGGTTGTTCCGATGGACCAGTCGGCGTACCTCGTTTAAGAAGTTGCCTGAATGTGACTAGTTATAATAGATTTATGTAAATATTGTCAGGAAGATAGAAGCGAGAGCGAGGCTATTCAGTATGCGAGTGCCAGAATCGATATTAAGATTAAGAGAAGGATTCGCTTTTGTCATGGACAAGAGCTTGATCCTTACATATTTGGGTATTCTGCGATAAATTGTGCTGCGTTAATGTTATACATCGTTATATTTAAATGGCTGAAAAATAGTGTTCGCGATAATCATAGGCGGTAAGTTGTCATTGTAGAAGATATAGCGTTGTAGGCTTGCCACTATTGTTATTTCGGGCAATATTTTGCAATAGTGAGAATCTCGATGAATATTGTTAAAGCAGTACAGAAAAGTGTATATCTGAAAGATCCGATCCGTGATTCATATATCTTGGAAGGAAGTCTGCGCGATCACGAGAACCTAGTGTTCTTCGTACTTTTCCAAG